GATCGTCGTAGATTTCTCTCAGGAGACTCGCCAAAGAGACTTGAAAAAACCAAAGATAGTGTTTCAGATAGATTAAATGATGCTGAATCCGATGCACTACTCAGATTTGAAATTAAAGGTCGTCTTGGTCTCAGAAAACGTATTTCAAAATAACTCCTTTTTGAATATTTCGCCGTTTTGAAAGTGATGGTATACATGATGGTGACGACTTAGAGAGTTGATTCTTTAGGCAAAGTCGTTCAGAATGGCCTGTTCTATACGATCTGAAAGTTTCTAAGCACTAGCATTTGATTTGGTTGCGAAAATCGCAATGCAAATATGCCCTAAAACCTTGAAAGTTTAAACCCCCCATGATTTTCCCGGGGGTGTTCGCAGGGTTTTGAAAAGTTGAAAAATACATTTTCTTGTTCAGAATTTGATGCTCTTTCGAATGAGATAGGTCCCCATCAATGCGACAAAGTTTTTGTATACACTGGTTTTGTCTCCATGGATTTCGCCGTTAGAACAGAAAAGAAAAGTGACGAGAAAGCAATCAGAAAAAAAAGCAAGTAAGAAAAGAAGGTTTTATTTGAAGGTTTTGCTTTTATTAAAAGACAAAATGAAAAACTGTACACTTCACCTGTGAAAGCGCTCCGTCGACTCAATAAACGGCAACCCTGACAGGTACAGAGTTTTTACACCGTTTTCGTCTAAGATATTGTTTCGAAATAGTATACGATTTATTGTTACAATTTTATTGCTGAAAATTTTTCGAATTCTTCTAACATAGTTTTTTCTTGATTTGATTTAAGCTTTATTTAAATAAGAAAAAGTAAAAAAAATCGTGATCACTGTAACGTAGAAGCGGCTGTAGCCATTATATCACTGTTAGAAATGATGAAAGTCGTAAGATATAGAACAACATTCGAGTTAAAAAAGAAAAGGGTAAACATATGTGAGAAGTGAGAGTGAGTGAGTGAGCTTTTTCTTATTTTGGTATATCGACGACATTCTAAAAAGAAGTGATGAATTGTTTCCTGTTGATGTCCTTAGACGCAAGATGCGTTGTGTATAAGATTTCTTTTTTTAAGATGATCATTTAGTTGATAAAAATCAAGTCTGAATTGTAAAAAATCTTTCTTTTTGTAAGTACTTTTGATTTTTTCTGTACTGTAGTTTTATATTGAAAACCACTGGTGAAGGTCGAAATAAACCTCGTTTAGAGAGAAATTAATTGGATTATTAATAGAAGATCGAAAATTAGAAGAGATAACCGGTTCTACGACAGCTTTTCTCTTTAAACTGACGTGCTCGTTGAAAAAAATATTAATACAGCTACATCTTGAACTACTGTCATACTAGATAAGTACTCCAAAAGCTGAAGGAAATTCACACTATGTCATGAAAATATCTTTTGTGTGAAACTACTTTTCGAACTCACCCTCACACTGCCCTCACCGCCCACCACGCACTGCCATAAATACCTAAATTTGTATTATGAAAAATTCGCGGAAGAGTAGTGTCCGGCTGAATAACGTGCAAGGGGGACTAGAGCTAGGCAAATATGCATATTAACGCATCAGCATTTAGACTGCAGACAGACACTCTTCGAATTAGTCTAATAGTAAGCATATTTAATATAATTGAAAAACATTTTCGTAAAATCATTTTACATAAAAAGCGAGCTTTCGATACTTTACAGTATCATCATCAGGCTAATATTATATATACTAGTTGAAACAGGGAAGAACGAAAGCACTAGAAAAACTTAAAATAGAAAAATATGTAGTATAGAGCTGAGTGACTGTTACATCTTTCTATTCTGGACTGTTATTTTCTAGACTGTCTAATCGAATATCACTGTCTTTAATGAAATGTCATTGTAGGCTAGCTGTTTTTGTTCGTGCGTCTGTAGTGTCTCCTTTATTTGTCTTTTAATTTCATTTTTTCCATATGCCAGTATACATGGTTCGTCTAGATTTACAGTGTGACTGTTTTCAGTGACATGTACAGATATTTTTGAAAACAAATCATCATTGTCTATTTTCTTCTCCTGCTGGTTCACTCTAATGCCTACCCAGGCAAGCCTTTTTTTGAGTCAACGCGCGTTGAAACGCGTTAGTTAGGACGCGTTAGTGTACTATAAACGCATCGAAACGCGTTTATCGAAAGCTCGCTTTTTATGTAAAATGATTTTACGAAAATGTTTTTCAATTATATTAAATATACTTAGTTTTATAAAAAACGTAAAAAAGTCAAAGAATGTCAATATAGTCTAATAGTACACTCTATTCAACTTCATTCAAAATGTGAGTTGCATAAATAATTAGTAACTATGCTACTTGTGGTAAATTTTCGATAATCTTGATGACAAATTGAATTTCATCATTGGAAGGTTGTACGGGAACAGAGGATATCACAGGCATATCAAGAATATCTTTGTAAGATCCGGGACGTTGACGCAAATCTTGTTTCAATCTAAAGGAAATATTAAGCATTTTTACATGCGACGAACATGAAAGACTTAAAAATTAAGATAATTGTGACGAAAAAAAGAATTTTTCTTCTTAGCTTTTGTTTCGTAGTCGAAACATCTTTCAGAAAATTAATTTTTCTATTACAAAAACAAATGAGATGGATTAAATGATATTTCATTTAAGATCGTAGTGTTCTAAATAAGGACATTGGAACAGTAGAGAATAATGAGTCCGAATATAAATTTTCAAATGACTTACAGTAGTGAAATGAATTCTCTAATATCTGGTCCGACAGTTTGTTGAGGAATTTGTGGTTGCCATTTTTGAATTTTTTCATAAAATTCAAACATTCTATCATTGGCAAACGGTTGACTTCCCATTGCGATTTCAAACTAGAACATCGAGAGATAAAATCTGATCGTCTGAAGGTTAAATCTCTCTCTCTATATATAGAGAGAGATGTTATCAAAATCGCCTAACTTTTGCCAATTAATCGCAATTTCGATAACATGGAATATCCTTTACTCTTTACTTACGAGAGTAATCCCAAGTGCCCAAATATCTGATTGAATACCATACGGAGTCGGATCTCCCGGCATTAAACGTTCAGGCTAGACATTAAAATAGGCAATATTATTTTTGTATAACAGGCTCATATGACATACCGACAGATACTGTATTGGATTAAAATTGATTATTGGTGGAAAATTTTGTAGTTGACCAGATATGCCAGAATCACATAGTTTATAAATAGAAAGTTTATTAACTAAAATATTTTGTGGTTTAATATTACGATGAATGATATTTTTTAATTTAAGATAATTTAAAGCGCCAACAATCTAAAAATATGACAAGATAAGAGAAATGATTAATTCTGTTGTAATATGTGAACATAATCGTACATTATGAGCTAATCGTCTCAATACTTGATCTAAATATTGTAATTGATCGATTCTATGCATTGTTAAATAAAATCGATCCATGGAAGAATCCATCGTTTCCATACATATGATCAGTTGACTATCGGTCTAAAGCACAAAAGATGAATTCATATATAAAAAAGTAAATTTGTCTATTGTTTAATATCTGTCCGTCTACAGAATAACAGAAATGTATTTATTTTCGCTTACCGTGTCTATCAATGCTGCATAAAATTTGATAATATAAGGGTAACCTTCGGAGCCAACTGCTCGTACTGTTTTCAAATCAGTCATCGCTGTGTACTGATTTTCTCCCGTATTTTGCAACGCCATTCTCTATGATACAACGACAGTAATGGAAATGAACAATTGATGAAATAATGCTTACTTTAATAGCCATTCTAACTTGAGGATGATCTATAACATCAGCTAAGGACACTGTTCCAAAATATCCTTCTCCCAATTTATCTAGCTCTTGTAACATCTGAACGTTGATGTCCAATACTTCTCCATTGAAATCAATTGTTGCCGTATCTTTGACATCAGTAAGTCTAAATATGAATAAATGAATATGATAAATACATATATATATATATATTGTAGTCGAACCAATTCATGCGCGACGCATCTGACAAATTCTATGAACTATTGTAAAAGAAAGCCCACAGAATTCCGATCAAGAGTATGCGTCATTTACTATTTTAAAATATTGCAAAGAAATTGGCATGAGACTAACGGGTGTACCATAAATAATGTCGGTCTCGGTATTTTTACTCTAACTCCTGTTCCTCAGGGTCTCCAGAGATTTTTTTTGTTTAATAGAAGTGCCGTAAAATTCTCTACAAAATCATACCCAAACTGTAATTTCAGAATTTCAAGCAAGAAAACTAAACAAATTATACGAAAGGCGAAAAAAATGAACACTTTGTCAACTCAAAAACGATTTCTTGTGTTAACGTTTTGAAAGTAAGAAAGACTGAATTAGCCATTTTGTAGCCCTGACTTCGTTCTGTTTTTTAGCTACATTTCAAACTTATTTCACATCAAAACCCATGGGGGAATAATAATTTTTCTGTCCGGTGTCACGTATTTTTTCATTAATTTTTTAAATTCTGCCTAAGATGATGCTTTGGGTTAAAGTTCGATAACTCCATCAAAACGGAAGATTTTTCGATCGGGTTTGTTTGATCAGAAATGATTGCTCTTCTCTACCTAACTGCAAAATCAAAACTTCGATCACATTTTCTGTTTCTTACTTGGGCACATTGTCGGAAACAGGGAGGTTGTCAGTTTTTGAAACTTCGTTCTCAAGCACACCATTTGCACTAAAAAGTCTTTTTTACAGACCACGAGAAAGAGCACATCTGAAAGTACCAAACGCAAACTGAGTTCTCACTTCTGCTACACTGTTTTACGCAAATAATAGCAGAAGAAAAAGTTCAAGTCGAAAAAAATACCAAAGGACGTGGGAGGGTTTTCGATGTAGTCAGCCTTAAATAATTTTGAAAAAACTATATGGTCGTAATCAGCATTGAATTCTGAACAAAATAGCTGATCTCGTTTTCCGAATTTTTACTTTCATTTTTTTCGAAAAAGGTTTCGCCCCTATCCCGCCTGTGGAACACTAAAAATTTGTTTATCTCAGATTTTAATAAAAACTACATCATTCGACGCAGAATTCGATGCTGATCATGAATACCACGTTCGCTTTGCATTTAAATGCATTCGAAGGAAGAAAATGAGTTTTTTCAAACATGACCAGCTGTGCTCTCTTATAAAAATAGGCCTACAGTCGTCCGAGATGTTGGTAAATACTTAAAAACCCATGTACTATATGTAAAAGTACATAAATAGTATATTCAATCTTCATGACCTAAAAAATTCATAACTTTTTGAAGAAAGGTCATGGAATGCTGGGCGTGGTCTCATTTTGTAGCCCAGACTTTCCTCTACATTAGACTATGCTTAGCTCAAAATCCAAATTTTCTTCAAAAAAGAGGGGGGTACCCTTAATTACGATTACGAACAAAATAATGAATAGAACTTGAAGAATAAATTTTAGTGGACTAACTACTATCTGTCCAATAAAATAATGGCCGTGGCTACTTTTTAAATAACTCAAGAACGAAAAGAGAGAAAAAGCTGCGGTTTTCACCATTCGAAAGAGGAAACTTGAAGGCATGTTTTCATAACCAAAATTTTTTCAGAAGAGTTTTCTGAAACAGGCTTTCTAGGGGATCTTTGGAAAACTAGGCCGTGTGTAAAAGTTTTCCAATAGGATTGTATTGATTTTTTTTCATGGGCTGATAGCACGGAGGATCCTCTTCAAAATGGGAGTCAAGCAAGACCTTGATCTTCCACTGTTCGAGTGTTGTATCGGATTTCCTACGAGTCCCAGGACTGGCACCCGGTGACTATTCGTAGCCTTGAAGACGGGTGAATTATAGGTAATCGATCATGCTGAGTCTCGTGGCAGTATTTATTTTGAGAAAAAACTTTAAAAATCTACCGA